CTGAAACTGTTCCAAAAAATAGAAATGGAAGGAAAACTTCCAAACTCATTTTATGAGGCCACCATTACCTTGATCCCAAAACCAGACAAAGACCCCAACTTAATCCCTTCTTGAGGAGCCCCTAGGATCTGGGCTCTAGGACGGCGGGCAGAAGGGAGGGGATTAACCAAAGTGATGCAGGTCCCCTGTGTGCTGATGGGGTGCCTGCTTGGGTGAGAGGCTTACCTGATGGTTTTCACACTCCTTTGAAGAGGGCATAGGGAGCCAGCACGCCAAGGCCCAAGGAGAAACGATGTGGAGACAGCCTCTGGGTGTGGCTCTCCTACAGCTCTGCACATAGTCGATGACCTCAAGGGCCAAGGAGGAGGAGATGCCCAGACAGAGGGAACCTGGGGGATGGCGTTGTTGGGCTCCCTATTTGGTGTGTGGTAATAAAGCACATATCCTAATGAAGACTGTGGCTGCTCTTTGTGTGCTGGTCCCAGCCCTCTGTTTTGCTGGAAATTGTTTGAAAGTAGCAAGTGGCCATTTCCATTCCTCTCCCTAGGAGTGTTCTAGACCTGCAGGAGCAATGATGGAGGAGTTCAGGGTATCAGCTGCCTGTTCTCTGATGTTCCTCAGAGACGGTGGTGGGAGAGCCAGAGGGGAGAGACACGGAAGGGACCGGAGAGATTGTCTCTCCACCCTGGGTTTCCAGGACCCAAACTTGACACAGAAGCACGAAGAGGAAACACCTGTATGTTGTTGTTGTTGTTGTTTTTTACTCATTGACGAGAAAAGCTATCCTAATACAAAGTAGCCATTCTGATTTTCGTGTTCCTAGTTGGGCCCCGGTTTGCATGGGGCCAGGTTCATGTCTTTGGGGACAGTAGCGTCTTGGTCAATTTGAGCTGCTATTACAAAGGACAACAGACTGGGAGCCTTATCAACAACAGGAATGTATTTCTCACCATTCCAGAGGCTGGAAGTCCAAGGTCAGGGTGCCAGTATGGTCAGGGTTTCGGTGAAGGCCCCCTTCCCATGTAGAATGGTCACCTTTTCATTGTGTCCTCACACAGCAGAAAGAGGAGAGAGAAAGCACGCTCTCTCTGGTGTCTTTCCTGAGGGCACTAATCCCATGCAGGAGGCCGCCACCCCCATGACCTACTCACCTCCCCAAGGCCCCACCTCCTGACACCATCACATTGGGTTAGGATTTCAACATATGAATTAGGGATGGGGGTGGAACACAACCTTTAGTTCATAGCAGAGAGCCTTGCAAATCCCGATTGGGGCTGCGACCTGAGGGGTGGTCAGTCTCACCACCGTAATCCGCAGGTGCAAAGCTCGAGGCGCAGAGTGGGGAAGGGGCTTCCCAGGATGCCACATAAGTTCATCAGTGCAGAGTCCAGTCTGCTGCCTCCCCATTGGGCTATCTGCACATGCTGCATGTGTGTTCCCTCGTGGTGTTCATGCCGTCCTGTGAGTGGGTCCGTGTGTTAAAGCAGTGCTTATTGAGTAGGGTCACAGATGGGGCAGCATCCTGGAACTCCATCCCAGGCGGAGGAGAAGAAAGCGAGGGGCGGGAGGGTAGCGAGAGCAACTCAGGATGCTGAGCAGCAGTCGCCTGCCAAAATTCTTCAGTACAGCTTGTCTAGCAAAGCCGGTCTCCAGCCGAGTAAATACAGTGGATGGCTGACGGGCTGACAGCAGGCATCAAACAGTCTTAAACTGCCCCAGATCTGCAGCGCTTTGGAAGCAGCGGTAGAAAAAGGAAGCCTGCGTAGAACAGAGGCCTGAAACTTTTAATAGTTTCTTCCAGGCCTCAGGATGTCCTGATGAGGTATTAGAGGAAGTAATTCAGGAAGAAAAGGACAAATAACCGCCTCCGTCTGGAGGCCGACCCCGAGGGCTGGCCATTCCAGCGCGGAAAGGGCACGCGTGGCCCTGCGGTGATCCCCGCCGCCGCTCGGGGTGGCCCACCCGCCTGCCTCCGCGCAGAGAGCCGCGGGGCTCTGACCCTTGTAAATAACAGACAAGTAAATTTCTTGTTTGCTTCGGGGCAAATGTAAGCCACACAGCGCCCGCCGCATGTGGGTGAAATCATTAACTTTTCCTCACTGTCGGAAGGGTGCTCGGTACAAATTAGAAATCATTGCCTCAACCTGGAGGCCCTTCCCAGGGATCCGGCCCCCTACCCTTAGATCAGGAGCCTGTCACTGCTGCAGGACATCAAAGAAAAACATGTGGCCGGCCAGAACTGAACTCACCACCCCCTCTGTTTTTTGTTTTTTTTTGTTTTTTTTGTTTTTTTGTTTTCCTTTTTCCTGTAGGGTTTGGCTTTGTCACGTTTGAGAATGAAGATGTTGTGGAGAAAGTCTGTGAGATTCATTTCCATGAAATCAATAATAAAATGGTAAGTTTGTAGGGGTCGCGCTGCGGTGCATGCAATGCCCCCCTCCCCTCGGTGCGCACAGCTTTGTCTTGCAGACTTCCAAAGCCCGCGTCAGCAAGCGAGAGGCTGGGCAGGGTGGACACGGGGACGAGACTCTAAGGGTTCAGACCTGTGGATGGCAAGCGTTGACAGACTCTCAGGGAAGGGCCGGGTCGTAAATATTCTCAGCTTCGCAGGCCACGCAGCCGATGATCACAGCCTCTCAAAGCCGCGGCGGAAGCGTGCGCAGACAATCCCGCGCAAATACGGCTGTGGTTCCATAAAGCTGTGTTGATGGACACTGACACTGAAATCTCATGTAATTCTCATGTCGCAAAATATTTATTTATCTATTTATATTTTTACCATTTGAAAGTACAAAAACCATTCTTGACTCTTGGGCTGTACATGTACAAAAGCCGGCAGGGGAACCACATTTGGCCTGGGTGTTATAATTCGCTGACCTGTGGCTTAGGACACAAGTTTGCTGCTTGGTTTGGCTTTTTGAGGGCTATCTCCCAGGTAGGAAGGTTACCACCCAAATTCATTCTGCGTTTGGGCCCTGCTGGGTAATTAACATTCTCCCCTTCCGATCAGCTAGCTGGTTTTACCCGCATGAGCACCCTCTTCCATCCCCCCATTTGGCTCTTGAAAGCTCCTTTTTCTGGGAAGACCCCCCTCAACAGGGAGGAGGTTGGATCATTGCAAGCTGGGGGAGCCAGCTAGGCCTCCCAGAGAAGTGGCCACCAGAGGGCGCCATACCATGAACACAGCACACACTTTGGCTTGCTGGAGGTCTCCACCTCCTTCAAATTGAGTCGGTGGGAGAGAAACCCCTTCCTTGTTGGTTCCAGAATTATCGGAGCTCAGCAGGTGTTTCTGGAGCCATCAGCAGGCCCTTTGGGCCAAAATATTTTGGTTGGCCAGCAGAGCCTCCAGCCCTATGAGAAAGGGAGGGCAAATTTGTGTTTCAATTGTAGCTGTAACTTTGGTATTTTCTCCCTTTAGTCAAAACAGTCCCGGCTTCTGAAACATGCGTTCATATGTGTATTGTATATTGGTCTGATACGTGTTCACTGACTTTAAATTCAATAATAGAGCTTTTAGTGGGGATAAGATCAAAGCAGTCTGCTTAGCATGTGGTGCTACAGGCCTGATTCAATATTTGACTTGCTAATTTTTTCCCAGGGCACTAAAATAATATTGTTCATATTGTTCCTAGCCATCATATGCATCTGAAATGAAAATGCTGTTTCTTTGCATACTGTAGGTTGGAGGTGTCAGCTCAGGCATTAAAATGGTACCAGGGAGATAAGTGTGTAGGAATAACACAGGACTCCTTCATCGGCATTCTCTGCACTGTACACCATCCCTCCCCTGCCCCCCCCACCCCCCAACTCAGTGCCTTCCAGTTGGTACTTGTCTCTTTTGGTAGATTGCTACTTGCTATTTTTAAAACTAGGGAGACAGGGGGCTTAAAAGGAAATGTAAGCGCAGCGCCCAGAGGCCTTGCTTCTCCTAGCCAGGCGTGTGGCTGAGAGGCCGCACTGAGGACTGCCTGGGCATTGGAGAGTGAAAGAGGCCTCTGAGAGCACCGGCAGACACCATTCCCGTCCTGCCAGGACCTAACGGTTCATCAGGAAGGCCCAGTGCAGACGGGCGAGAGACTGCTGTGTGCGGCCTCGAATCCATACGTGCGGCCCTTCGCTACAGACTGGCTTTGACACAAGCCTTAAGCACAAGTGATAAAGAGCTTTATTCTCCTCGGTGGTCCAGTGGGGAAACTGAGGCCCAGGGGAATCTGCCCCAGGGCTCCCCAGGCAGTAAAGTAACCTAGGTCTTGAGCTTCCAGGCTGCTGGATGAACAACACAGAACGTTGTTTTGAGCTTGGGGGCTGCAAGGGTGAATCCCCAGATGACATAGGGGGAACCATCAGAAGGTAGAGTTTCAGCCCCAGAAAGATAATAACCCATGGATGGGCTGGCTTGAAGCCAGAGAGGTTTGTGGCCATGGTCCCCAGTCATTTCACAGTTGTCACCTTCTTTTCCACCAGCTGGAGGCTGACAGGGGTGCATGTAGGTAACTGTGTTCATAGTGGCAGGGTTTCTGATTTCTTTTGAATCGGGGCTGGTACTTGTTCTTTAAGGGCATAGCAACAATGGAAGTAGACAAGAGGGAGGGGTGAGCACGGAGGGGTGAGAACCACACACAGGCTTTGGAAGTGTCCTTGTATGTGCCCCGCCCTGACCCTCCAGTCACCAGCTCTGAAGGGGAAATTCCAGGTACTGGAAGAGGCCATTGGAAGGTCACCGGGCCCCGCCAAGCTCCAGGATAACGGGGCCCGTGGTGACCACCTGGTGGGGTCCCTGGGCCTCAGGGGGAGGTACCAGCAGCAAAGGCCGAGCACCTTGATAACCGTGAGCTCTTGCCGAGCTCGGCCGTGTCGTTGTCACGGAAAGGGCCTCTCCAGCACACCGTCCTCCCCTGAAGAAGCCGGAATTGCTGAGGATTCTGCGATACTGGTTTCAACTTCTGAGGCCCACAGAAAAGGAAATGGATTTAAACTGCTATGGACAGAACTCAAATGAAGAATTGGAAAGACTCTGAGAACGCAGAGACTGCCAAGCAGAAACCCGGACGGTTGTTAGAAGGTCTGGGGGAGTGTTTTGTAAACTGGACTGCTTGCGAAGCTGTAAAGACCAGTCTCCTGGAAGCTTGGCAATCTCGCGAATTCTGCAGGGACAGATTACTGTGCTGCCCCCGAATGTGCCTGGAGCGACCATTTTCTCGTATTCACAGATAAGAATGGTCTGGCCCCCGATGAGTCACGAAGATAGGACTTGAATCCAAATCTTCTCCGTCTTAATCCAGTACTCCTCTGGCTGGCACTCAGTGGGCCCTGGGTAAATAATTGTGGAATGAATAAAGGATTATGTGAGGGACCATGTGACAGGGAGGCGCATCATAATTCCCAAAGCTATTTCCCATCTAATTTGGTTGGTGAATCTCTTGGGCATTTAAAAAAAAAAAAAAAAAGAGGGCCCTTCCCCGGCATCCAAGAGAGCCTGCAGCAGACACCAGCCCTTCTGCCTGCCGGGGCTCCAGGTAGCTGCCCTCAGGAAGCTGGGATCACCGCAGCCCTGCCCCCATTCCCATACAGAACCTCCTTTAAGGAGGTCACCTCCATGGTGTTGGTGGCGGCAGGGGGGAGGGCCACAAAAGACCCCCCTGACACCCTCCTACAGAGATCCCATGAATAGTTCACATTTTTTAGTGCCAACTACATACTCTGCTGAGAGCTCGCTGTATGCATCTCTTTCTTCTTTCACACAGGTTCTGATGTAGGTACTGATTATTGTCCCCCATTTTACTGATAAGCGAGTGAGGCAAAGAGAGAACTTAAGCAATTTGCCCAGGGCCAGACATTCAGCAAGAGGCAGCACCAGAGTTCAAGCCCAGAGCTCACGTTTGTACCCAGGAGGCCAGCACCCCCTCCAGGCTGAAAGGGACTTGAAAGGTCATCTCACTGGGCCACAGCGTTCCAAGACCGCTGACCACGCCCCTCCCCCAGTCGGCTGTGTCGTGGCCCATGGGGTTCCCATGTTCTCCTAAGAGAAGAGCAGAGGAGATGGGCTCACTCGGGGCCAGATTCCTGGCTGGGGCAGAGGGCCAAGCTTGGGCAGAAGGCGTCCCTGTCGGCCATGACAGATTTCCTGGCCTCTCCCCCAGAGGCAGGTGAGCCACAGGTAAGGAGGGCAGCTGGCCGCCACCTGACCTCGGGGCCCAGCCCCTTCCCCCATCTTGGCGCGGGTCATTGTGAGGCGCAAACGTGGTTCCTTATTAATAAACACACAGAAATGCACCTGCAGAGCCACCTGGTGACTCTCCAGAGAGGGCCTCCTCTCTGGCCACTCTGCGAGCCCCAGCGCAGGCCCCTGATTGAAGCAGCGCGCCCCCCCCCCCCCCCCCTGCCACAGCAGCAGGGATGCGGACTTGATGAGCCGCCAGCCAGCACAGCCTCCCGCCAGCTCGCAGCCCCGGGGAGGGAGGTGGGAGTGACACCCACCTGCCCGGGCTTCCTCCAAGGCCTGGCTCTGTCCCTACCTCAGATGGAGTCGGGGAGAGCCTCTCTGGTGGAGAACGTGGGGTGCAGTCTGAGGGGTGCCCGAACAAGGGCACCTCCTCTGACCCCTGACTCAACAGCAGGTTGTTGGCCTTTACGTGCGCGTGGGCATCGCCCCGTTTTACAGAGCGGGCTCTCGAGCTCAGAGCAGTGAAGGGACTTCCACCGTCCATGGTTCTAAGTGGCAGAGCTGAGACTTGAACCGGTGGTGTTCTGGCTCCAACCCAGTGTTCTTCCCACTCTACCCTCCTGCCACCTTAGGCAAAACCTCACTAACTGAAAAACCTGGGTTGGTGTGACTGATGAAGATAGGGGTTTTATTTGCTTTGTACAAGGATTTCTATAGGACTCCTTTAAATAGTCCTTTTTCTTTCTCCATTGAGGTGATCTGATTTTTGAAATTTCCTGAGCATTTTGCAAGCTCGTTAGGAATGCAGAATCTCGGGCCCCACCCCCAGAGCTAGTGAATCAGAATCTGCATTTTGACAAGTCCCTAGTGATGCCTGTGCACATTTAAAGTCTGGGAAGCTCCAGGCAAGGATCACTGCTAATGAGAGATGGTGTGGGAGTTGTGGGTCGGTCATGAATCGTCAAGTATCGAAGGAAGGGACCTAAAGTAAGGGCTGAGACCCCAGGAGCATGGAGCTGGATGAGCCAGCCTGGCATGGGATCCCCAGGCCGGTCTGCTGCTCTCAGCCCCACCCCACACTCCCTTTGTGTGCATGGCACCAGACTTCCGCTGCTGCACCCCTGCCATAGCAAGCCGTCCATGCCAGGGACCCCCCCCCACCGCACCCCCAGTGCTGGCATGCCCTCCCCCTCTGACAAGGATCTCAGAGCATTGATTGAAGATGTTTG